ACAGGGAGACTTTCAGTATAAGAGCGTTTTAGCTGCCGCACTTTGCCAACATGTTTAGATTTTGTTGATGGGTGATTAGTGCTTGCTTTTTGTGCTTCTACTATGATTAGGTAGGCTACGTAGTAAAAATGTTTCTTTTTTGTCTCATTTAACTGTGTTTATTGTTAAATTATGATCAGAAGTCTGTAATGGGTATTTTATTTTGAAAATTGAGCGTTTCTCTGCCTTTTCTGTGTCTGACTTCCTGCCCGGTTCATCTGCGCTGTGCTACTTGATGCTGGGACGCTTCCTGGACGCACTTAGTCTATGTACGCACTGCAGCGCTTCTGGTGTTAGCAAAAACATTTAGTAGAAAGGCCGCTAGACAGATTCTGTGGACTTTCGGAGTGAGTCTGGGGTCATGTAAACTTGGTTAATATGTCTTTGTAGCAGGTGGGCCCACGATGAAGCTCCGCCCCCACTGTGCTGACAGTCTAGCTCTGCCCCCACATACTTGGTAACCGTTTTATAAAAGCAATATCTCATTTCAGGCCGTGATATACACTCACAGTTAAGGGGGTTGCCGAACAACGCCCCTTAACTGTGATCTAGTAAGCGTATACCATGGCCTGTGTGAGCTATTGCTTAGTTAGAAAGCAGCAGCCTACACTGTAAGAAGAGCCATAAAGGAGGCAAAAGGTGATTCCAGGAAAAAAGTGAACTTTATTTCCAGGAGGGCAATACCAGAAGCATGTGGCAAGATCTAAGAACTATGACAGATTATAAGCCCCAGGGCTGCATTTTGAGCCCCCCGCTGTACTCCCTGTATACATATGACTGTGAAGCCATTTTCGACTCCAACACCATAATCAAGTTTGCTGAAGACACAGCTGTGGTGGGTCTGATCACAGATAACAATGAAAAGGCCTACCTAAAGGAAGTAGAGGGCCTGACCTGCTGGTGTCAGGACAACAATCTACCCCTGAACGTCAGCAAAATGAAGGAGCTGATAGTGGATATGGGGAAGAAGCAAAGAAGGAACTATGCAACCCTTAGAGACCTATTATAGTGCTTTTCCAGTCCTATATTGTAGTTCTGTGACATCTGTATAGCAACTTTGCTTTTTTTTTTTCTTATACTGACTCTTCATGTAGGTTCTCATTTCAGCCTCTGTCTGAAACAAGCTGTCGATGCTCGTGTGTCTTCTGATTGGCCAAGACCTGAACCATGTTACCAGACTGTTGTTGTTGCTGGGCGGAACAGGCAGACTGAGCCTTGCCATGCTGTTGCTGTGGGAGCAAATGACCATATATGAAACAGTGGCTCCATCTGGCTCCGTAAAGACCTTTTGTGATTTAAGCGCCTCGTAATTAATTTTCAATGCTTGTACGAATGGAGGCACGGGCATTGCGTCAGCGGACAAGCGAGTGTGTTCCCATAAAACAGTTGCGGTGTGCTTGTCTTACACACACACGCCCACCCCTGCCAAAGAATTGACTTGAACTTTCTCTATGCGACGAGCAGCAGAAAAAGATGATGGATGAGACTGATCCTCACCATCTGTGACTTCCCTGAAATATATAACTGCTCACTGAACAGTTATCGGGACATTAATAACAGGAGGGCATTTGCATGACTAGATTTATCAGCTATATTAATATGAATAATATATATTATATAATATAACCTCAACTAACGTTACTAGAAGTAACTAACGTTACTTATAGTTACGGCAGCTAGGCCGTTGCCATGGTTACTATCTATAGAGTGCCTTCCCTTTACTCGCGGAGCGCTTGTCGCCATGTCTGTTCACATGAGAAGCGCAGAGCGACCCTGCGGGACCAGGCGACTACGCGGGCGGAGTGCCTTGATATGTAGAACGGAGCCGTTGGTAGAAAAAGCTGTTGAAAACAGACCATTCAGAACAGGAGGAAATCTGAGGTTTCTGCTCACAGGGATTTCTTATAAATACTTTAACTTCATTTTTTGAAGCTTTGGCCATGTTTAACATAAACATTCAACATTGTAGATAAGTCATAAAATGTGGAAAAGCATAATAGGTCTCCTTTAATATCAGTGGATCCTTGGTGGAGATGGTGGACAGTTTCAAGTACCTTGGTGTCCACATCACAGAGGGCCTGACCTGGGTGATTCATACTGACACACTGGTGAGAAAGGCAAGGTAGAGACTGTCAAACCCCAGACCCTTAAGGAAATTCCGGGTATCCCCTCAGATACTGAGGGATTTGGAAACAGCACTAAATAGGACCACAAGGCCCTGCAAAAAGTGGTTCGTTTGGCTACACATACAACAGAAGATATTTACACCAGGTGATGCAAGAATAAGGCTAGTAGAGTAATTAACAATACCAACCACCTGGAAAACAGTCTTTTTTCCTTCATCCAGGAGGATGTAGGTCAGGCATGTCCTAAGTCCGGCCTGTGGGCAATCATGGCACGAGGCCCGATTTTATATGGCCCTCGCCTTCCTTCTTAAAATGTATTGTTTGTTGTTTGGGGTTTTGTGTTTCCTCTGTTTAGCCTTGTTTATTCCATTGTTCATCTGCATGTTCTGTTTAGCTCACTTAGTACCTGTTCTGTCTTGTATCTTAGGTTTAGCCCTGCATTTTAGATCTGTGTCTTAGTTAATGTCTTTGTATTTAGTCCTAGTTCTGTGTTTGCATTATTTTGGCTTTGTCTGCTCTGTGTTCTGTTTAATCCTAGTTTCAGTTTCTGTTCTGTTTACCTGTTGGTTGTAGTTTATTTGTATTATTTGTGATCTGTCTGCTTGTGTCTGGATTAGTTTGTTATTTATATTATACTGATCTGTTCCGTCTTATTGTATGGTTTGTGTTTAGTAACCTGTGTTCTGTCTGTTACTCCAGGAATCCCTCTGCATGCCTGTGTGTCTGCGTGCTTGATTGTCTGATCTCTGTCAACGCTCGTTAGTCCCTGGATATGTTTGCCAGTTTCTTTAGTTTGTGTCCAGTCATTGTCGAGTCATGTGTGGAGCATCCTGCCTGTTTCTCTGCTGTCTTGGTCTGTTGGATTATTGATTAATCACCTACCTGTAAACCTTATCATTTTGTTTCTGCCTGGATGAAATTCCCTGAACTGCATCTCCGCTCTCAGTGTCTTGCATTTGGGCTCTCACCTGACGTGACAAACTGTGACAGCAACGCCATTAAACTTCACTGTATAATCCACTAACAAGTTGTCTGCACTAAATGTCTTAAATTTTATCATGTTGTGAAACTGGTGCTAAAGACTGTTAACTTGTACCACTGTGTTATGGACTTCTACAAAAAGCACTTGAGATCCAGACTAACAGATCCCCACCTACGTGACATTTTACGCATCGCAACCACTGCTCTCAAGACTTGGCCTGTGTACTGCAATCCAGATCTCAGTATTACCCCTCACATTAGTGTCAGTAAGTTGTCTGTCTCTTGCTCACCTGAAAAACAATTATTATTGCACTCCTTATAAAACAGTTATGGGCTAATGCAGTGAATTGTTATTGCAGTCTAAATAAAATTGTTAGACTATAATGCAGTGCATTTGTATGTGACTTTATTACGGTGGAAAAGTATGACAGAAGGTGCACTCGGCCTCAGGTATCTGCACGTTATCGAATCTGGCCCCTAGTGAAAAATGTTTGGACATCCCTGATGTAGGGCAACAGCTGAGCCGATGCAAACCAGACAAAGCCCCAGGACCTGATCTCTCCTGTTCTCCGCTCCTCTGCGAATGCTAAAGGACCTCAGCAGTTCCCCGCCCTCTTCTCCTCTCCCTCTCTGGAAAAAATCCATTATAATACTGGTGCCAAAGAAATCCCTACCCTCAGAACTCGATCACTATCGGCCAGTTGCACTTACCTCAATAATTTTAAAAGAGCCTGGAAATACCAGTTTAATTACAGAGCTCTCTTATCTATCGTACTTCTACTTTTTAACACACTTTGGACATTGGGACATTTACAGTGACTCTGCTTTCTTGAGAGTGAGAGTTACAAAGGTCAAACAAAATACTCAACCACACATAATCATTCATTCTATTTTTTACTCTGTAGCTGTACAAGGGCAGCTCCTCGGTCTACTTCCCTCTCCTGCGTATCTAATCTGGCCTCCACTTAGGCTGTCTGATGATGTGCCGGAGAGAAAAGGCTGCCTCATTAGAGGATGCCCCCACAGCTGCCTGTAATTGTACAGATTTCAGTGAAGCGTTGTGACCTTGCTCAACTCTGTGAGAAAGCCTCAACCACCACCACCACCACACACAGCTGCTGTGATTGACCATACTTGTTTTTGATGTTACTGTACAGATTAATCACAGTTTGACTGGGTTAGTCCATCGAAACCTGAAAAACTTTGAAACCTTGGAAAAAGTGGTTTGATACACTCTTAAAACTGCTGGGTTAAAAATAACCCATTTTGGGTTATTTTTATAACCTGGTGCTGGGTAAAATATGAGCCGAGCCAGCACTGGGTTGTTATAACTCAGCCGGGTGGTTTATTGGTTTGACCCAGCATGTTGGGTTAAGCTTTGTACCCAAAAATTGGGTTGACCCTACCCAAATTCTGGGTTATCAGTATCACCATGGTTTAAAATTACATATTTTATTTTGGTTGACTTCTGCATCAAGAGATGTATCGATTATAAATTATGAAAAGAAAATAAATAAATCATACAAGCACATAATGTCCCAGCCATTCATTTATTATTCTGAGCAAAAACAAAATGTCAAGTTAACAAATACATTCCTCATTAAACTTTCTTTTTTAATACAAAACAGATATAATAACAAGTGCTATAATCACCAGTAAAACATTTTGGGGGCAAATACATAAACACAAGTTTTTTTATTCATACATATACATACACACACACACACACACACACACACACACACACACACATACACACACACACCCCACAACAATTGGAACCACTGAACGCACTTTGAATTCCTAAACATTTTTAGGTCAGTCAGCAAAATATGATCATTACATCACAGCAAATTGGGCTCGCATTAATTTTATTGCATTTGATTCATTCTCTGGGATGCTAAAGAACTTTCTGAATAAACTCCCAAACCTGTGCATATGCTTTTGGGTAGCTAAGATCAATAACAAAAAATGCCTTGAAACAGACATCAGCCGCACCTAAAAGAGATGGCTGCTGCAAGGCTGTACCGTTTAGGACAACAAATGCTTGGGAACGCTGATGGTCCTCCCCCAGCATAAGGACATATGGGTACTCCGTTGTTGGTCATGTCAGGTAATCCACCATGTTCGTTCCAATCTACAAAACACCACAAGATTGAAAAAGGTTCAAAAACTTCATATCCCTTAATTTCTTTATAAAACTTACTTAAAAAGACCAGTTTTCCACATTACCATGTGAGCCTTACTTCATTCACGTTGAGGTTAAATAAATTCATATTTTTATGTTTGAAGTTAGATTGTTTGTCAACAAGCTGAGCTCTCTGACACCGACACACTGGATAACACTGTGATGCTAAGGACATTGTGAAACATATTAAATGTCTTCAGACAACCACCACCATGCTGAGTGACCAAAGAAGCCCAGCTGAGTCTCTCATTGTGCCTTAAAGCACACGATGGAGCAGAGCGCGCTAACGTTACCTGATTCTGTGCTTCCCCACTTTGTAAAGGGCAGTTGGGAACAGCACTGGCAGCAGCTGTAACGCTACGTCACCTTGTTTGTAAAATAAAAATCTGTCAAATGTCTTTCAAATACAACAGTTTGTTGTGGTGGCAGCCCAGCTGACAGTGAGTGTCCTGGCTTTTTGTATGTGATTCTGTTTTTTCCCTGGTTTTCTCTGTTCTGCCTGCCTCCCTGTGTCTCCTCCCCTGTGTGTTCCTTCTCTCTCTCTCTCCCTCTGCTCCTGAGCCCAGCCAAGCACCTGCACCTCATCAGCCACCTCGTCAGCCTGCCACACCTGCCAGTAATCAACCTTATCCCTGCCTGTATTTCAACCCCGGTTCTCCACACCATCCTTGCTTGATTGTCGTTGCTCCATACCTGGTGCCACCTCTACATTCAAGCTCACGTGTATTTTGATTTCTTTTTCAATTTCCCTGTACTTCGTCTCTGCTGTCACTATCCTTGTCTCTTTTTCTGTTTCCCTCCAAGGTTCACTCACCCCCGTCCTCCGTTCAGTCGGCTGGGCTCATTCTGTGGTCCTCTCCTCCCCGAACTTCCCCCACGGCGTCCTCCCCATTCCTCCTCGCTTCCTTGCCCCCAGTGTTCCCCGGCTCTCCGGTCCCAGTCTCCTCAGTTCCCCCGTGCCAGTGTTTCCCCGGCATCCCCCCTCTCCCTCCTCCAGTCCCTCAAACCCTTTTCCCGGGTAAACCTCCTTCGCTCTGAGCGCTGCATTTGGGTCCTCTGTCCCCGCACCACACAACCCATAACAGGGTTCCAGTTTTCAGTTAATTTTACGGAAGACTCTGGGTGTAATACTAAGAAATCCTGTGAAATCTAAGTACAGGAGAAGACAAAGATGCAAAGGTGTAAGACACCAACAACAATTGAGTAAAACTTAATGAAATGCAAGCTCACCATGCCCGGCGTGTCGACGAAACGCGGAAACTCCATAATTATCAATTGGATTGTTGTGGTCCCATTTGCCAGGATCCACTGCGCTCTGTGAATGGCGGTCTCCAGCATTTGTTGGCCAACCTGAGATGGCGGCCAGATATTGTCTTTCAACCATTCAGTCAACTGGATGGCCCACTCTGGAGTTATATAGTTGGTTCTGTAACATGCAGGAAAATGGATAAATGCTAAGAAGCGGTGATGGACTAAGACTAGCTTCAGGTAATAATGGAGACTATCAGGTTGGAACAGTTGACTTTTCAAGTGCTGTCACATACATTTTTATGATGAAATGGAAGGACAGCTTGCTGTACCTGGTAAAATGATTTGGGTGTCATGGACACTTGCTCGGAGTTTTCTCCAAGCGGCAAACTTCCGGGCTGACGCCAATACGGAAGACCGAAAACCTGCAATTCATCGAGTGGACACTTGAGGCTGGCTCCAAAAGGGAGTCAATTTCCATTGACCCCCATGTTAAAATGCGCAACTTTACAGCGTGGTACAAAAGATAGTTTTAGTGTATATTGCTAATTTTGCCCTTCGTGACAACTGTGAGGGGGGGGTGAATTTTTTTATAACTCACCTGTTTTAAATTATATTAAGCCTTAAAGTTCTGCATTATTAGGGGCATGGCCGCTTTGATTGACAGGCGCCTCTAGCCACAGTTACTGCAAGCACTCGGTCCGCCGTCTGTTAGCCTCACTCAGCTACGCGGAGCTCTGAGGCTCAGCCTGTCAGAGTTTTTTGGACATTTCTACATGTAGATACCGGAAGAATAATGGCAGGCTGTGCGGCTGTAATTTATTAATGTGTTAATAATATTTAAAAGGTATGGCTGTCAGCCTATAGCTTTTTAGCTTAGCTCGTTACGCTAATTAGCAGATACGAGCAGCCCCAAGCTGCCATGAACAATGCTAAGTTAACGGGAGTTAGTGTGTTCTAACCACAGCTTTTAAGGAGTCAAAGACAAGTCAGCAAGAAGAGAGAAGCCAAAATGTATTAGATTAACCTTACTGTTAGACATCAGTGTGATGGGGCTTCGTACTGTAACGGACTCACTGTTCAGTTAGATACTAGTAAGATACTATCATAAGTGGCTGGACTTGTACCCGATGGACACGAAGGGTTTAAAGGCAGAGAGCCGAGGGGGGAGCGGCTGCAGTGTTCTGCCTGAAACTGTCACACCTGCTCGCCGAGGAGAGCCATGCACCTCCGAGTGTAATGTTACTGTTATAACGTTATACTATTCTTTGTGGGGTTCATCAGTGGGGATTATTGAAGTACATATAGAAGAACGTGTAGTCATCAATAAGTTATTACACTTAGTAGATGTAGCATTCCTTGTGTGTGTGATTCAGCAAACAATCTGAGGTGATAACTGCGTTTGATCAGCGATGTTTGTGATAATTATGGAGCTTAAGAGGTGGATGCATTATTCTGCATAAAAAGATGTTGTAGGTTACCTGCAGAGATTTGCATCCGCGTTTTTTACCAGCATATAATGAGCGTTATGCCTGCAGACATTTAGCTGGGCTGTCACTAATGCAATGGTTTAGTTTAGGCAAGAAATTAGTGTGTTAGAGCCGCCTCTGAGTTTGTTTGGTGGATTAGAATTTGCCTAAAAAGCTATCTTTTTAGGCAAATTCTAATCCAGTTCAATAACAAATATAAAATAAGATCCTTATAATAAATGTTCAATAAGATCTGACTTGAGTAGTCATCAGGTGTCTTGCAGCATGGATTATTACATTTATTCATTTAGCTGATGCTTTTATCCAAAACGACTTACAATTGCTGTACATGTCAGAGGTTGCACACCTCTGGAGCAACTAGGGGTTAAGTATCTTGCTCAGGGACACAATGGTGGATGGGTCACAGTGGGGGATTGAACATGCATGTGTCTAATCCATTGTGCCATCACCACCCCATATTATTGTCCAGCAGCAAACCGTATATTGCACATATTAGTAAATCGTGTATTTCACATTGCCACCCCTAATTACTGTCACATGCCAGAGGTTATCGTGCTGAGGCGATCTGAGTTCAGTAGCTTTATGGCTCTTTGGAAGAAGCTGCTTAACTGTCAACCAATTGTTGTCTTTACAGGTGCCAGAGGAGCTGATTGCAGAACCCTCCAGATGTGATTTGATGTGTCCAGCTCTACAGGAGATAACGGTTCCAGCTCCAGCTCTTCAGCTCCTGCTTTGCTCAGCCTTTTCTTTTAACACACAACGCCTGAACAATACTGATGTGAAATTATGACACTGGGTTCTTATCAACAGATTCTATCTTTATAATAACTCTTACAACACATTATTTCAAGTCATACAAAACTACTTTTACATTTGTAACCTTTTAATATTGACATTTTCATGAATGCAACACAAGAGTTTAATTTGTTAAACTATTGCTTGTGTTTTGGAATACTTTGTTATAAAATTTATCAGACTAATTATACATATAATAAAATCACATAATTCATTCATCAGATTCCTATGTTAATTGTAAATAGTATGATCTAAACTGAAAAATATAGTTAACAGCTGTTAATTAAAATATTAAGATGGTATGTCTAGGTTTTATATAAATTTTGCATGTTAGAAAGTAAAAAATGAAAGGTTGATGTTTTATGTTGTTTTATTTTGACATTTCTTTAAGAGACAAATGTGACAGTGACTGAGAAGTTACTCTGCACTGAATAGTTTTGAAGCCCTGTAGGAGGTGTCATTTATTGCGACCTCTGAGAAGGTCTCGCGTGGTTTACTACATGTGCATTCGATCAGCTCTGAGACCTCATTTTTCATAATTAATAATTACTCTGTGCAGATCATTCTTTGTTTCATCACTTAACAACAGGATGTTTTGAATGTGTTCACATTCTTCTGTGTTTAAACTAGACTTAAATCAGAGAAGCAAACAAGGCACTCTTAAGAAACTTCAGGCTCTGTTATACAGTATATGGGTACTGGGTGTATGGCTCCTTATTTATCTTAGAGTATAAGGTAGAAAGTAAAAATACTCCTGCACACAGAAATTCACTGAACAATTACTTTTCAACATTTCATGTGAAACACGTTTGGGAGTATTTTCACTTTTCAACTTTTACTAGACTGATGTTCTTTAGTTCATCAGCTTTAATGTTTCATGTTTTATCTGAGGTATACTACACTGCTCAAAAAAATAAAGGAACACTTAAACAACACAATGTAACTCCAAGTCAATCACACTCCTGTGAAATCAAACTGTCCACTTAGGAAGCAACAATGATTGACAATCAATTTCACATGCTGTTGTGCAAATGGAATAGACAACAGGTGGAAATTATAGGCAATTAGCAAGACACCCCCAATAAAGGAGTGGTTCTGCAGGTGGTGACCACAGACCACTTCTCAGTTCCTATGCTTCCTGGCTGATGTTTTGGTCACTTTTGAATGCTGGCGGTGCTTTCACTCTAGTGGTAGCATGAGACGGAGTCTACAACCCACACAAGTGGCTCAGGTAGTGCAGCTCATCCAGGATGGCTCATCAATGCGAGCTGTGGCAAGAAGTTTTGCTGTGTCTGTCAGCGCAGTGTCCTGAGCATGGTGGCGCTACCAGGAGACAGGCTAGTACATCAGGAGGGGGGTGGGAGGGGCATGATGGGAGGCTCCACTACCTGACAGTTGTGGGGTGCCTGTGTCACAACTACCCTCCAATTTTAGTTGCACCTTAGTTACCACACACCTTATCTTTACTCCACCATACAACACTTCACAATCCATGACATGCATCCAACACAAAACAATACATTTACAGAGGCAGGCAGAGGGGTTGAAGGAGTGGGGGGGATTCTCATTGGCCTCGTGTCCTACCCCTGGAGCCCCGGGCGTCGGGGGTGCTGTGGGGTTGGTGACGGCCTTGCCTGATCTGGGGTGGGCTGCGGGGAGTCGGGGCTCCCCTGGCGTGGGGGCCCGCCCTTGACCTAGGGTTCTGGGGACTCGAGCTTGTGGCCTTTGCTCATTTCTGGGCGGGTGGTGTGTCCCTGGGCCTTCATGTGAAACACGTTTGGGAGTATTTTCACTTTTCAACTTTTACTAGACTGATGTTCTTGCCTGCCTGTTACAGTCGTGGCGTCCCACTCTCACCAACAACTACATTCTTTAACTTGCTTATGCGCACACACATGTACACACACACACACACATACAGACACATTC